ACGGCACCTAACAACACAACAACCACAGAAGTCCAAGTTCAAAGGGTCAAGTTCTAGGGGCTGGGTGAAAGCCCCTCAGACTTGGGCTTCAGCTCTGCCTCTTTCTCCTGGCCCACTGAACCTGGAGGCTTTTCTTCACTCAGGCAGCTGCTGGCTGCTGAGGCTGACAAAACCAAGGTCAACAAGTCAAAAGGTACAGTCCTGATATCACCAAACAACATGGTAGGCCACTAATTCAAGTCCAGAAAAACTCCCAAGATACAAGGCATGGCAGTGTACTGAACAATGACTTGGCTACATGAAGGGCTCAAGGGTGCCAAAAGACTGGAGACCTTCATCAGAGTTGCTTCTTTTACACTGGAAACACCCCACATCCCTAAAGGAGCTACTCAGCTGGTCTAGTAGATTCCACCATGGAGTTAATTACCAATATCACCACGGGGAATGACTATATCCAGCTGCCCAGCCATTCAAACAGGCCCAGCCAAGTTGATATAAAACCTTAACTACCACACACACTCAGATGAAAACATACATAAGACTTTTGCCAGCATAACAACTTCTGCATTTACAGCTCAGGGACACTGATGACATTTTTTATGTTGCGCTGACACTATTGCGGTCTGATATTAACAACAACAACAAAAAAAACTTATTGTCATCGACTCCATCCTGACTCATAGTGACCTCCCTTGGGTTTCTGAGGTGATAAATCTTCACGGAAGTAGATTGCCCCATCTTGCTTCCGTGAAATGGTTGGTGGGTTTAAACCATCAACCTCTAATCAGCAGTCAAATGCCTTAGGCACTGTGCCACTAGAGGTCTAAGGACACTAAAGAATTCTTTTTGTCAGGTTGGAATTTCTGCCTTCTGCTTTTTTGTCTTAAGCTATTAAATGCCTCTCTAGCAAAATGTAACAATTTACTATTAGATTGTAATTCAGGAATATGGAGAACAATCAAAACTTTCAGGAGTTCATTACTAGGAACAGATCCTGAAAACGTAATATCCAGGACACAAATAGATACAGAACACTGTTCAATACTAAAGAATAATGCAGAATTGGTGAAACACCTCATCCCAGGATGAACCTGGAGGACATTACACTGAATGCAATGAGAAAAACACAGAATGGTAAATATCATATGAGTCCACTATTGTAAAAAGTCAAGGAAAGTTTACACAGGGAAGGAAATTTTCTTTGTTGGTTAACAGGGATGGGAGGGCAGAAGGCAGGTGCAACAAGGGCAAGGAGGCCACATGTTCTGACCTCCTCTAATCCCACAAGAGGAAGACAGGATTACCAGCAGTAACTCAAGGCCTATTACTGCAAGGCCAAACATGCTGCCTCCCTCCAGCCCTCTCACCAACCGTTCCTCCCAAAGCACCCACCACCTCTCTCCTGGGTTCGATAATT